CCCTCCCTGCTTGCCCTTTACATACATGCCTTGCATTAATCCCTGGGGTGTTAATATGTCATTATAGGGCAAAGTTGACTTTAAGATAAGGAGATTATCTGGATGGGCCTGACCTAATCAATGAGCCCTTTAAAAGCAGAGAGTCTTCTCGGTCTGGTGGCAAGAAGAGAAGGAGATGTGCCCAGCTGGTCTGGAAGAAAGCAAATATCCACAATGGGAAGGGCTTGAGAGTGGCCAGCAGGAGGTGAGGGTGGTCCCGACTGAGAGCACACAAAACAGGGACCTCAATCCTACAACTGCAAGCAACCAAATTCTGCCAACAACAAGAACGCACTTGGGGATGGACTTTTCTGCAGAGCCTCAGCCTGATGAGAATCCAGCCTGGCCAACATCATGATTTCGGCCTGTGATCCCCTGGGCAGAGAACCCAGTCATGCTGTGCCAGGATCTGACCTACAGAAATGTGAGCTAATAAATGGGTATTGTCTTAAGCCATTAAGTTTGTGACAATTTGTTACATGACAATAGAAAATGAATTCATTTTCCATTTCCTTTCTAACAGTAGAGCAGCAAGAACAAGACCAGGTTTCTTTAATTGTCATACAGTAAAACTGACTTTTTTGGTATACAGTTCTATGAACTTTAACACATGTATAAAAGGCGTATAACCACCATCACAATCAGGATACAGAACAATTCCATCACCCCAAAACACTTCTTGTGGCGGTCACATCTGACCCTCACTGTTAATCTCTGGCAAACACTGATCTGTTCTCTGTCACTAAAATTATGTCATTTCAAGAATGTCATAAATGCAGTTGACCCTTGAACAACATGGGTTTGAACCATGAGGTCCACTTATAGGTGGAATTTAACTAAAATAGGTGTACTGATTCAATACGGTACAGTACTATAAATGTATTTTCTCTTATGAGTTTTTTTAAGATTGATTGATTGATTTGTCAGAGAGAGAGCACAAGCAGGGGGAGCTGCAGGCAGAGGGAGAAGCAGACTCCCTGCTGAACAGGGAGCCCGATACGGGGCTCAGGGCTCCATCCCAGGACCCTAGGATCATGACCTGAGCCAAAGCAGACACTTAACTGACTGAGCCACTCAGGTGTCCCTCTTATGATTTTCTTAATAACATTTTCTTTTCTCTAGCTTACCATATTATAAGTTTTAAGTTATTTTATTTCACATTAAGTTATAGTAGTTACATTTTGGGGGAGTCAAAGTTATACAAGGATTTGTGACTGCATGGAGGGTCGATGTCCCTAATGCCTGCATTGCTCAAGACCAATGTAATATATAATCTTTTGAGACTGGCTTCTTTCACTCAGCATGATGCCTCTCAGATTCATCTAAGTTGTGTGTATTCATAGTTCCTGGAACGGCAAATTTTTAAAACTCTTTATCTAGAGATTTAAAAACTAGAAAAAAATGGGTTACCTGGCTGGTTCAGTCGGTAGAGCATGCAACTCTTGATCCCAGGGTTGTGAGTTCAAGCCCCACACTGGGTGTACTTTAAAAAAAAAAAAAAAGTACCAAGAATAAAAGGATATTGACACTAGAAGGGATCTTTGATATTATCTGGTCCCACCCTATGCTTTTACAGATAAGGAATCTATATCCAGTGAGGGTTGAGGACTTGCCCAAGATTGTTCAGGCACAGGAGAGGAGAGAGATTCAATCTTCTTTGCAGTCAAGTAAACCATCAAAATCTATAAAATGTGATAAATGTTAAGACTTGGGGAGAAACAAGTATTAATGGAGCACGGAAAATAAATATTGTATAAACTCATTTCCATTGCTAATGATAGAGAATCAATTCAAACTAACTTAAAGCCAACAAAATAATTCATTGGCTCACTTAATTTAAAAAATTCAGGATGACTAAATAAATAAATAAATAAAAATTCAGGATGGTGCAGTCTTCAGGCACTGCTGAATCCAGGAATTCCCAAAATGTTGTTAGAGGTCTCAACATCTCTCAATCTCTTATTCTCCTCTTTACCCTTTTGGTCTCCTTCTTTCTTGCATGGTGGCCTCATTCTTTCCTGTCACAGGCTCTTGCTATCTGCCAGGATAGATAAATACTGGTAACTCAAGCCTACAATCTTATAGTTTCTGATCCAAAAGGAAGATGGATGCTTTATCTCCAATAATTCCATTGATCAAACCTCTGGCCATTCCTTTTCAGTTTCCTTCACTGGTTTTTCATCTCGCCAATCTGCCCTTGAACTGCTTCTCTTCTGTAGCTATACTCACTCCCTAGGTGATCTCATCCAGTATCATCAATTTACATACCATCTACCCCCAAAGGTCTCCAGCCCAGACCTTTCCCCCCACACTTCAAACTTGTATATACAACTGCTTACATGACATCTTTACTTGGCTGTCTTTGTCTAACAACCATTTCAAATATAACATGTTCAAAGCCAAACTCCTGATCTTCTCCCACAAACATGACCCTCTTGCAATTTTCCCATCTTAGTAAATGGCAATTCCATCCCTCTAATTTCTCAGACAAAAACCCTCGGAACCATCCTTGATTATTCTCTTTCATACTTCACATCAATTCTATCATTAAAATTTGTTAGTTCTACGTTCAAAATGGATCCAGATTCCAATCTCTTCTTACCATCTCTACTACTACCTCCCTCCCTAAACCATCAGCATCTATCCCCTGAATTATCACAAAAGCCACACAGCTGGTCTCCTTCTTTCCTTCCTTGCTTCTTGGAGTTCATTTTCAACACAGCAATCATAGGGATCTTCATAAAACACAAGTCAGATCATGTGTCTTCTCTACTCAAAATCTCCAATGTGATTTCTATATACTGCAAAACAGTGATCTCCAAGATATAATAATAAGTGAAAAAAAGGAAGGTGGAGAAAAGTGTGTATGGTATCTACCATTTGTCTAAGAAAGAAAGAGAAGCATACAAATATATATGTGTTTGTGTATATTTTTAAGTGAAGGGATAAACCATAAAATTTTTTTTAAAAGATTATCTATAGGGATAGGAAGGGAAAATGACAGAAGGGTCAGGGAAAGAATCTAGACTTCTCTAAATGTACTACCTGTTTGGTAAATTTTGGCTTTGAAACCATGTAACTGTTTCACAAAACAATTTTTTTAGGCAACGCCTAAGAATCCAAAGCAAAAAGAAATAAACCTGACTATCAAGTTGGTGGCATAATCTCACAGAGAGGAACTATTCCAAGTGACTGTGTTTATTTATTTTTAAGAAATCTCTACACCTGGGGCGCCTGGGTGGCTCAGTTGGTTAAGCGACTGCCTTCGGCTCAGGTCATGATCCTGGAGTCCCTGGATCGAGTCCCGCATCGGGCTCCCTGCTCAGCAGGGGGTCTGCTTCTCCCTCTGACCCTCCCCCTCTCATGCTCTCTCTCTCTCTCATTCTCTCTCTCTCAAAAAAAAAAAAAAAAAAATTAAAAAAAAAAAAGAAAGAAATCTCTACACCTAACATGGGGCTCAGACTTAAAAACCTGAGATCAAGACTTGCATACTCTACCAACTGAGCCTATCAGGTGCACCTCTCCCCAAGTCACTTTGAAGCAATGCAATTTGACTCTACACACCTAGAGAGATATACTCTAAGGGCAAAAAGAATTGCAAAAAAAAAAAAAAAGGCAGAAACTTATCAGTAAGCATATGTTTAGTAATCATTTTAGTAATGTTATTCTGAAACTATTTTATATATACAGTAGGATAAAGCAATTATGTTAATTATGTTAATTAATTGTTATTGACATATGTAATTATGTTAATGTCATTAGGCACCAAGATTTTCAGAAGAGATATGCATATAAAATCAAAGTTAAGTAAAATCTGTGTAATCCTAAGTTTGCATTGAAAATATTAATATAAATGCATGATGCATTTTCTCAAAAAATGTGTGTATATCTAAATTTTTTAGATCTGTAGGCTAAAAAGGCTTACAAACAATAATCAGCCCAATAACAATGAACATTTGTAGCATCCAAATCATTTTCTCTAAATATCACTTTCCCACTTAAAGGAGGGCTCCTTGGAGAAATGACTGATTCCAAGTCTGGAGTAGAAAAAATACTAGATGAACCTACAACATCTTGTCACCAGAAATTGAGTCATCTTGGGTAGGGGATGCTGCTTCTGATGCTCAAAGTAGTGTGGTTGGTTAGGGAAAATTCAAAGAGCTGTACACTTACACTGTATGCACCTTTCTGTATGTGTGCTATACTGCAACTAAAAGTTTGTATCTACTCTTTATCATGGAAAATATCAAACGTGTTAGTATAATGAACATCCCTTTCCCCATTATCCAGTTTCAACAGTGATCAAAAACGGTTATTCTCATTTCATCTATACTCCACCTACTTCCCTCTCTTCAGTATTTGTAAGCAGATTTCATTTATCCTACCGGTTCATCGAGGATTATGTTTAACCCATAATCTACGTAAAACACGTACATACATAAAAACAGAACATAATACACAAAACAAGTGTTGTAAAGGTAACTTACCAAGGATCATACAATACCTTCCCAGGAGAGTGTTTTGGGGGTGGGGTGTGTAGGTAGGAGACAGCGTTTAAAGAAAAGTTTCGAGTGTGAATGTTTTTAGAGCGTCCCCAAACTCTCGATTCGACAGTCTCACGATTTCCTATTGTTTTAAAACCCTGTCACCCTTTTATTTAACGTTGCCGTTCCTGGGATACTCTTGTATTGGGGATCCCTACAAGGAGAATGAGACTGAGTGGGGAACAAAATAAGCAGCTTAAAAGGCATCTCACCTTCGTTATTTTGCCTAGGGAACGCCCTATTCTGTCACACTGTACAACGGATGCATCTGCCTTTCTTAACTGAAGCCCTTATCTCATAACCGCTCAGTCTGGTTAGGACAGAACCGAACTGTACTGTTGTTCAAAGAACTACAAATCCCAGAAGGCCTTTCGGCTGAGGCGCCTGCGCATCGCGAGCTCCTTCCTTTCCCCTCCCCATCAAGGGGAAAGACCCGCCCCGCGGTGCTGTCGCTCGCGCTGGAAGAAGCGGAAGAAGATGGCGCTCACCAGGTGGGTTGTTGATGGGGGTCCTTGATACGGAAGGGTCTGGGAGAACCCACCTTTTTCATTTCTCTGCCCACTGTCTCCGGGCGCTGACCTGGCTCGGGACACAGAGCGACGTGGGTTGCGACTACGGTTAGGCCCTGCTCCCGGCTTCCGGGGCTACTAGGCCTCACTGAAGCTGGGGTCTTTCCTGAGCAGTTTCCCGGGTTGAGTTCGTCCCCTCACTAGGGCCGAAAGCCTCGGCGTGGCTAATAGTTCTCCGGCCTCAGATGCCAAGGAGTCGCACGTGTTTTTCGCTTGAGCATCTTGGGGTTGTGGAGAGCGCTCCGTCTGATCCACGGCTCGGGCGGACACGGCGGGGGTGTGGAGAGCAGTGGCTTATTTGAGCGAAGTGAAGCGGCGGGAGCCGACTGTCCGGCTTACCGCCGTTTGTCTGCCGAAGTCTCGCCTGTGCCCCGAAACAGGGATTCCTGAAAAAAAAGGGGCGGCCGGCACTGAACAGAGATTTTTTTAAATTAGCCACTGGTGGTGGCCACTGTCTACTAATAATGCGCTGCTGCTCCGCACTTTTAACTTTGGACCTTAGAATTTCTTCCGTAGATAGAACCGCTTCAGGTTTTTGCTGTTCCCAGTTGCCTTGGTAACCGCATGTAAAGTGGTCCCAGCCTTTGAGAAAAAGGTGCTTAACTGGGAGATTCCGAGGAGTTACATAACTCCTACTAGTCCGCGACCTTGTTGCCCCATCTAAGTAGAAAAACTTTCCCTGCGAATGAAGCAGGAAAAGTTGAGTTGTCAAAGATGGTTGTAAAGAAAGTATTCGTTTTAGGACATAAGCTTGAGCTCCCTAAACACACTTGATTCTCCTCACACTTATTTTTCCTGGCTGATGACAGTTAATCCCACAAAATGTTTTAATCAGAAAATTCTTGGGGGAATTAATTTTGGGTGCCTTGTTCTATCCTAGGGTTTGTGTGTATACAAAAAGAAATCTAACGGTCTTTGCAGGGAAGATGGGGTACAAGACATACAGATATGAAAGAGAATAACACAGAATGCTCACTTGTGTAATACTAACCTTAAGTGCAAAAGAATTAGATTAAATAAGTTGAATGGACTAGAGAGTTTTCTTTAGTAAATGTTACAAGCAGCAAACATTTGAGTGCAAAGATTACCAGAGTTATGAGGAAAGGTATTGTGGAAAAGGTGGAATTTGAAAAGGACACGGGAAAAATAACAGAGATGTTGTGGGTATTGTGTGCTTAAAATTGCAGTGGTAGAGTGCGGTCTTTAAGTGGCTAGCCTTGAGGACTACATAGTTTTCTGATTTCGTTGAGTTCTGTTTGATTTGATTCCAGGTGAAATGTTATTTATCTCCAACATCTACCAAGGATTACTTAACAGCAGGGACTTGACATACTGATGTGTTACAGTATTGGTGTCACCAATTATTTTTACTAAAGATTTAAAGTCATACTGATTTAGTTCTCTAAATTCAAGTGTATTTGGGGTTATGTATCTAATAATATCACTTGCATTTAATATGCTTTATTTGGTGAAGGGGAAAGAGTAGACTAAGATGTCTCAACAGTGGCACTGTTGATGTTTTGGACTGGATAATTCATTCTGGTGTGGGGCTGTCCTATGTATAGTAAGATGTTTAGCAGCATCTTTGGCCTCTATCCATTAGATGCCAGTGGCACCCCTCCCCCGCCCCCTCTCCATTCCCTATCCCCAAGACTTGACTATCATAATGTCTCCAGACATTGTCAAATACCTACATTGTAGTTATTTTGCCCCCCAGTTGAGAACCACTGAGGTAGACTTCTGCTTGCGTATACAACCCACAGCCCACTATGTACTCCTTCCCCCTACCCTGCCACCACAGGAGTGTGCCTCTTTGTGGGAATGTCATCCTTTACAAGAAGCAGCACAGTTAAGACCCTCTGGAAGACTAGAGTATGTTCAGACCCTAATCCAGGCCAAGTTATCTGTTTACTGAATTGTCTAAACTCTTTGCTTTGGCAGGCTGCCTGCCTTTTGATCATATTGGTAACCAGTTCTTTCAGCAGAAGGTAAAGAAAAGAGAAAATAAATAAATATTTTGACTTCTTTGTAACCATCTTTGTATCCCTCCTATGTATTAGATATACATGGTGTACTGAATATAACTATGGTAGAAGCCCAAAACTTTTGACTCCATTCATCCATCCATTCATTCCTCATTCAGTTAGTATTTGTCAAAGGTCTACCATGTTCCAGACACTATTCTAGTGCTGGTTTTACAGTATTAAATCAGTCTGGCAAACTCCTTTATTTTCAAAGCGCTTATATTCTAGGAGAGACAGACCATATTCGTGTGTGTGTGTGTGTGTAAACAAATCAATAATGCAATTTCAGGGCACTTGAGTGGCTCAGTCGGTTAAGAGTCTGCCTTCTGTTCAGGTCATGATCCCAGGGTCCTGGGGTAGAGTCCCACATCAGGCTTCTTGTGCAGCGAGGAGCCTGCTTCTCCCTCTGCCTGCCGCTCTCCCTGCTGTGCTTTCTCGCTCTCTCTTTCTGACAAATAAATAAATAAAATCTTTAAAAAAAATGCGATTTCAGGTAGTGATTACTAGGAATAAAATAAAGATAAAAGGACAGAGTGACTCAAAATGCAGGGCTGCCATTTTGGATGAGGTGGTCAGAAAACAGCTGTGGGGAGGTATAATTGAGAAGAGACATGAATGCTAAGAAGGAAAGACTGAAAGACCTAGGATGGGGGCACCTGGCTGGTTCAGTCAGTAGAGCATGGGACTGTTGATCTTGGGGTTGTAAGTTCAAGCCCCATGTTGGGTGTAGAGATTACTTATTAAAATCTTTAAATATGAATGAATGAACTGGGGAAGAATTTTCTATAAAAGCACTATAGGAAAGAATGTTCTGAAATAGAATATTTTATGGCAGATGGAAAAGCAAATGTGAAGATCTTGAGATGGCTGAAGGCATATAACATTGTAGTGACATAAAGGTGGTGAGTGCAAAGGGCAGAGTGAATTTAGTTCTCCTGCATACTTTTAAGTAGCCCTTGCTGTGAGCTAGACAATGCCTGGGGAGTTAGGGATAAAAGAAGCAGAAGGCATGATTCCTGCAAGTTGCTTAGTCTAGTGAGAAAAAGAAAGGTAAATGAGTAGATGATTCTGATACAGTAAGATAGATGTTATAGTAATGGTACATAGGGAGTCTTGTAGGAGCATGGATGGGGGCAACTAACTCAAACTGGGGGAGCTCCGAATAATCAAGTATGTATTGAACAGTATTTAGACACTGTGCCTGGGGTTCATAGATTTTCTCATTTAGTACTTAGAGCAACTCTGTGAGGTAGGTAGTCTTTCGATCTGTCTCTACAGATGAGAAGACAGAGGTTCAGAGAGGTAGGTAACTTATCTGGGTTACTACCTGGCATAGGTAGGATTTGAACTCTGGGCTCTTAACCATCACAGTACCTGACTCTCTAGACCGATTAGATCCCTCTTATGTATGTTGTCATAGCACTCTATACTTTTCCTTCATCATTTAACAGAATTTGTAATTATGGATTTGTATGAGGGATTGTCTCGCCTCTGCAAAACTGTAACCTGTCTTTCTCAGTTTATAGTCTTGTGTACCTAGCACAGTACCTGCACCCAAGTGATCAGTAAATATTTTGAATAAATAAGTTCTATTGTTTACTCAAATATGCTTACTAGCCAAGAATCACAAAGAAACCTTAACTTTTCCATTAAATGTATTATTCATTTATTGGGATCCTTTTGTGGTCCTTTGGGGTATCTCTATAATAATATTTATCATACTTCAAAGTTGCTGAGAATTGCTTGGTAGAAAGGTTGCTTTGATTAAAGAATAACAGACTACATCTTTAGAATTTCTGCTTTGAATCTTTGACCTCTTAACTTTTAAATTGCATTCTAAACTAGATACCTTTGGGAAAACACACTTAAATATGCAACTTGTATTTTCTTTTATCCACCTCTTTGTTACATTCAGTACTAATACTTATTTTTTTGTATTGACACTAAAATAGTTAAAAGTAAGAAGCATAAAAGTAAAGCAGTTAAAAATAAGGAGTATGAAAGTAGTAAAGACACTAAGGCAACCATATACTAGACAGTTGGCCCCTGGGTAATAGAGGATGCTTCCTTGCTTGTTACAAGAAAGCATAAAAACTCAATAGTTTATGGTTTATCTATTATATGAACTATCAATTTTTTATTCTGGGCACGATTTGCCTGCATCCTAGTCAAACGTTTTTTATTGTATGTCTCTGAGTACTTATTTCTTTTCAGACAAAATGACTGATATTTAACACTGCCGTAAATCATCAAAATGTTTGACCACCTGCTCAAGGGAAAAAGTATTATAGTAAAATAGTCTCTGATGGCCAAATTGCAATGATCAAATGTAAGAATTTTTTAAAATTCTGACTTTTATTATCTTTGCTTATAGCTTTTTACCTGCACCTACTCAGCTATCTCAGGACCAGCTTGAGGCTGAAGAAAAGGCAAGATCCCAGAGATCACGACAGACCTCACTGGTCTCCTCCCGAAGAGAACCTCCCCCATACGGGTACCGGAAAGGCTGGATACCTCGGTTATTAGAGGTAAGTAATTGTGCTAACCCTTGTAAAATAAATTTAAACCCTAGAACCTCTGCACATGAATACCACTATGCTAGAAATCCTGGTTGTGTGTTCGTAAGACGTGTACTCCCCTTAGGGCACTGATCTTTTTCTTCTGTCTTATTATCGCTGCTTTGTGATCACAAGAGAATTATATCAGCTTATATCTCTTCTTATGTCCAGCTATTAAACATGTACAAAAGAAACTAACATACCCTCTGTAAATCAGCAATTACTGCATATGGAAAATAATGGGAAAGTAAGAGGAGAAAATGAAAGAATAAGTTCATGTTCGGGTGCCTTTCCCTCCCTTCTCCCTGAACGCACGCAATGCCACATAACCCTGCAGAGACAGCCTTCCTCCAGGGAAAACACCAGCAGCATTTCTTTTTCTGATTTCCTTCCCGTTAAGTATAGTGGCAAGAGCACTGGCAAGTAGTTTAAAAGAATAAATAAAAATAAGTGTTTTTGCATCATACCTGTGCTTCTTACTGTTTGTGTGACCCTGGGCAGATCCTGACCTCCCTTCATCTGTTTTCTTGTCTTCAATTTGAGAATGTTTATATAGGTCTAATATACGGATTAGGTAAATTTTTTAGAAGGTTTAAGAGAATTTGATGGTAGAATTGGAGGCAGTGAGGGAGAAAGAAGAAATCTGGAATGATTTTTTATATCTCTAGCTTGTTCCCAAAAAACAAACATCTTTGGCAGTACCTGTCCTCCTAGTTACTCTGTATCCTGTACTGCAGTTCAATACATATTCCTTTCCCTAATTCCAGGGAAGATTTCCCATGCTTGACCATCTTTTTCATCTAGGGAGAAAAGCAAATATTTGAGACTTAACTATTTTGCTTCCCCGAGACCACTTCCTCTTTGATCAAGCCTTTTTCTTCTCCATCTCTCAATATTCCTTCTGACTCCTGCAAATTTCCTTCCTCCACTTCCCAAGGAATGTCCCTGCCCTACTAAAATTCTCTGTTCTTATACCATTCATTTTTGTACCCAGGTATTTTCGTTTTATCACTTTGTTACATTTTGTTCTTTTATGGTTGTGATTTTTACCTTACAAATGTGAAGGGCTCATGCCCTTACCTTTTTTTATATGCCTCCAAATGGTGATCCTAGTGAACTAAGTATTCATTGGACTGAAATTTGTTGCTTTGCACCCAACAAGATGCCATCTGTATTCTCAGTCTCTCCCATGTTTAGGATTCCCCCTACCTACCAGAACACTCTATAGAGCCTAGAAGACAAACTCCCAACTAGATCATATCTTCTAAAAAATTTCCTTGTTTTTTTTTCTCAGCTCTCCTCTAGACCTTATTAATTCTAATGTGTGAAGGCCAGTCTTACTAAAATGACTATGGGATTGTTGTTGTTGCTTTTGTTTTCACTCAGTGTAATTTGTGCAAAATAGAAGATTATCAAGGAGGCTATAATGCCCTCTTATCTGGGGCAGAAAGGTAGTGATTGGCATTATCTAAGAGAAGGGTAGTATGTCTCTTTGAAGGGATGCTAGATATTCTTTGTTTGCCTCTCAATAGATTATAAGGCAGGGGATGGCAGGCATCATTTTACATACAACAGAAATCTCATCCATATTTCCATTTCAGCATTATGACATTCAGGGACTATTAACTTCTTAAAATCTTACTTGACTAAAGGTTTCATATATCCTGGTGGAACAGAACAGTTTATTTGAAAATCAAACCAAAATGGCCAGCTAATCTGGAAATACTCTGAATGCTTTTGTGGGGGAGTGAACGTTCTATGCAGAAAGCATTTTGTTCTAGTTTTCAGAGTAAAAGCTATGATTTTCTGGTAAGCTTAATGACCGCATAATGCCACATCCACAGTTCTGAAGTGCTTATTATATTTCAAGAACCCCAGCAAATCTGAGCATGTGTCAGATTGATGGCCTGGGTACAGGTAGCATCTTTCTCGGGAATGCTTTAACAATTTTCTACCTAATTTATAAGAAAATGTCTCCCTTAGCTTTATTGTTTGTTTTTAAAAAGGTCAAAATTTTTCTTCAGCAAGTAAGCATATTATACCTAGGAAATCACATGTCCAAGATCTAATGGAATATTTCTTGAAGGAGGAAGTCTTATAAAAGTTGTTATTTTCAGGGCGCCTGGGTGGTCAGTCAGTTAAGCTTCTGCCTTCAGCTCAGTCATGATCCCAGGGTCCTGGGATGGAGCCCCACATTAGGCTCCTTGCTCAGCGGGGAGCCTACTTCTCCCTCTCCCTCTGACTGCCACTCCCCCGCTTGGGGAGTCTCTCTCTGTCAAATAAATAAATAAAACCTTAAAAAAAAAGTTATTGTTTCATAAAGTTTTTCCATCAAACCTCCTCTAAATGATTGATTTTATTCCTGAGAGGAGACGAAATCCAGGTCTCCTACTCCTCCGCCATCTTGCTCCGCCCCTAAATGATTGATTTTAATATTTTTTCCTATCTTGTATGTAAGTGATGAATCACTGAATTCTACTCCTGAAACTAATATTGCACTGTATGTTAACTAGCTAGAATTTAAATAAAAATTTTAAAAAATATTTTTTTCCTATCATTTTTTGGTAGTACTGACTTGCCCTTTTTTGAGCTAAAAGAAGGGAATTTTAGTTCAGTAGAAAATACAAAGTTTTTTGGAGTCAAAAGATCTGAGTTCAAATCCTGCATGTGCTAGCTATGACATCTTGGGAAAATCCCTTAACTTGGGCGCTTGGATGGCTCAGTCGTTAAGCGTCTGCCTTCAGTTCAGGTCATGATCCCAGGGTCCTGGGATCGAGTTCCACATCAGGCTCCCTGCTCAGCGGGGAGCCTGCTTTTCTCTCCCTCTCCCATTCCCGCTGCTTGTGTTCCCTCTCTAGCTGTCTGTCTCTGTCAAATAAATAAATAAAATCTTAAAAAAAAAAAAAAGAAAAAATCACTTAACTTTTCTAAACTTGAATTTTTTCCATATGAAAATATGAGATGTTGAAGAAATACAAGAATTAAATGAGTGTGGATTATATTTTGTACATTATAATAAGGTCCTAAGCAAATATTACTAAATTTAACAAAATTATTTAAAAATTATATTTAATATTCCTTTGTGTATTTGATGAGCTACCTTTTTTTTGTAATACTAAACTTCATCAACAGGCTTTACTTAGCTTGTTCTACTTTAGAAGTCATAGTCCTCTCTTCTAAATAATTGTATACAGTCACCATTAGAAAAATGGTGAACTCATTTCTTGAGCCTTCGTATTCTGTTTATTTGCTTCTTGTGGAACATGAATAAATACGTTATGAAAGTCTGGTTCCAAGAAAAAATTCTTTACATTTCTGCGCTATTATAGCTTGAATGGTTACTCACTAAGAAAATTATATATGCTAAAACTAAAAGTCTTTTCCTTGTCCTAAACACTGTCCTTAATTTCTTAATATATATAAACATATAAAAATCTAGATTTGTTGCCATGGTTTAGAAGCCCTTTCATGATCTGGTGTTTGTCTACCCATGCAAGCTTATCTCCTGTGTGTCTGCTCCTCTGTCCTCAGCAGGCTCCAGCCCCACATCGGGGCCTGTTTTACTCTTGTTTCCTAGAACATTCCAAGTTCATTCTTGCAGCAGGGCCTTCACACTATTTGCTCTGCCTAGAAAATGCTTCCCTCACATCTTCCTATGCCTGATTTCTCATTATTCAGGCTTTAGCTCATGTTACTTCTTCACAAAGGCTGTCCCTGCCCTATTGAAAGTAGCCTCTGTTTGCAGTCCCATTATATTTTCAAGGCATTTATCACAAGCCAAAGATTAGGCTTTTTATATCTGTGCCCACTAGGATGTACACTGTACAAGATCAGGGACCTCTGTTTTCTTTATTGCTATATCTCTAGCATCTAGTATAACAACATCTGATAATTGTTGAATGAATGAATGAATCTTGAATCTGAAATTACAATTAAATATTCTTATTTTTCTTTTTAATACATAGGATTTTGGAGATGGAGGTGCTTTTCCAGAGATCCATGTGGCCCAGTATCCACTTGATATGGGGCGAAAGAAAAAAATGTCAAATGCACTGGCC